TAATGAAGCTTTGAAGAAACTCACAGAATGTGAGAAGCGGAAAGTCCTTGGGAACTGAAGGCCAGGAAGATGCACAACTCAAGCAGCATGGTATACGCAAACATATACCCGTGACTTGAGAACGAACAGAGGGTTTCAAAGTGGAGACATTGTGGAAAACAATCCCAGACAATCAGAGCATCTCCTATCCCAAAGAAACAAGCATGAGCTTCAGCAGAGACCACTTACATCACTCCGCTTAAATTTTTTCTCTGAGGTACCCTAGGCTCCTTTGAGCTGTTCACAATGAACTGCGTTCTCAGCCCTTAGCGCGTAACAATCTAGTGGCATCTGGGAAAAGGAGTTTCCTTTTCAGTATAGTTCTCACTTCAAGAAAGAACTAAGGCATTAAAAACTTTCTGGAGTGATGGAAATATTCTTTATCTTAATAGAGATATGGGTTACATGGGATTTTCCATTTGTCAATATTGTCCAGTTAAGAATGCATTTCAGTCTATAAATTTTACCTTAAAAAAAGTTTTTATCTGAAAAAAATCAAGTGCAAGGCAGGGAGTAAATGGAGGTATAGATGAAAAAGAATGGCATATGCTGACACTTGTGAAAGCTGGGTGATGGGTATATGAGGGTTCATCAGCCTTTTCTATTTACTTTATTTATACTTGAAGTTTTCCATAATAGAAAGTTAAAATGAACACTTAAAGAACAAGTCCAGAACTAGCAAACCAGTCTCGAGCTAGAGCATAACTCTTCTACCCTCTAGGGATAGATACAAGCAAAACCCTTTAGGGATGTTTTAGGGAGAGAGTAAGGCAACATAGGAATACACGCCTCAGAGAACACGTAGCTCCCCGCAGTCTCCAGCACTACAGATGATATGAGAGGGCCCAGGACACCCCAAGGCCCAAATCTACCATGCCAGTCCCACACGGGGCCAAGAAGCTAGCTGCATGTCCCAGGCACAGGCCTGCATTTCTGGGCAGAGTGCAACACACACATCCTACCACCTCCCTGAGGGACACAGTGTATATAAAGAAACATGGCTATACTAGACATCAAATTTACTTTTTTGGTTACTATTTTCCTGATACTTTTGATTCTTCATATCTCATCTTTTGGCTTAGAAATAAAAGAGAAAATTATATAGTTAAAAAACTCACTATGCTACTTTGTAGATGAACTACATCCCTGCTTGCTGAACCAGTATATTAAGTTCCAATATTTGCATATACATCTCAATATGTCTTCCTGTTTCAGGGCAAAGAGACTAGTATCCAGCAGCAGAATATTAGTGTCAACTGGTGGCAAAGAAAAGAACACTTCTCTTAGAGGCAAAAAAAGAAAATGTAACATCTTTCCTGCTTGATCATTCTCTTACCTTCGGCCCTGATCCAATCGTCCGTGAGGGCCCCGAGCAGGAAATCTGTTCAGGTGGCTCAGATGAAGTGTGTGGGATGTTTGGAAGAGACTCAGAGCTGCAGAGAGGAAGTGGCTGGTGACTCAAAAACCCTAAATATCTGTCCAACTTCCCTATCCCTTTAAGCCAGTACACAGACATACCCACTTGTATTCTGACAGCAACAACCTGACAAGTCCATTCACCTAAGGGTACCCCATAAAGCCATACCAAATCACTGTCATTGGTACTCACGCTTCTGAGGGAAGAGTGGGGGAATCCGGTGAGGCTGGAAGATCAACTGGGGCTGAGCTCCCAGAATCCCTTGCTTCTGGCCCAAGGCTGCCACATGTAGAAGGGGAGGTGCTGGGGACTTCAGTAGGGGCTGCAAGACAGTAACCAGGAAATTCAAGGCATCTCTTGGCTAACGTGCTCACTACCCTGGAAAGATGTAGACCCTCTTCCTCAACAAAAGGTAAGGTTCTTGACCAGCTTCCCTCCCACCCCTTTCCAAAGCATGTGCCAAGGAGAGACAAATACCTGGTTGGAGAGTGTTTGCACCTTGACAGCATTCCAGGGCACTGCCTGGCCAGGGTTGTATGCAGCCTTCACCAGCACCTTCTCACCCAGCTGGGGCAGCCGGCCCTTCACCACACTGCCAGCACACAAGCCAGGAGGCCCAGTCAGGAGAGAGACCCTGGCCAAGCCACACTCACTGCCCCATGAGGCCCTTCCCATCAAGATTTCTTACACCTTACATAAAAAACAGCAAAGCAATAGCTTTAGAGGGGCCCCACCAGCATGGTGACAGAACTGAATCCCAAAAGCATTTCCAGAAGGGGACCAGCCTCAAGCCTACCTTAGCTGAAAAAAGACTTCTTCATCCACAACCCCAAAGTAGTCGTGCAAGCTGGTAACAATGCCAGTGAAGACCCGTTGCTTCTCCCCACCCTGTTAAGAGAACAGTGCAATTTAATAGTAATAGGAGGATCTGTCCACACTGCCATTAGCATCTCACCTCCATCCACCCTCCAGCTCAGAGTACTGCACCACGGCCCACACAGAAGGAAGCAGACATGTATAGTGGACACAATCAATCTACTGGCGGGGGCTGGAAGGCAGAGCATGCTGCTGCTTGAATTGCAAGCTGCTGCTAGTTCTCATTCTTCTTTAATTCCAAGAAGCACCCTAAAAATTTCCCTAGAGCCAAGATTTAGGATTCCCCAGTCAGAGGTATCTAGTCACATTCACACCGGCCTGGGATAGGAGCGTCAGGAAGGGTGAACACTGATGTTTAAGAATGGAAGCATCAGACACCCTGCATGCTGGGATAGTCTTAAGTGCTACAACTCACTAGAAAGGATGCCCAACATACCTGTAGGTGCCTGGCATTTTGGGACAGGTCTGTGGCCACAGGAGGTGTGAGCAGACCAGGAGGAGGACCCAGAAGAGACGTTGAAGCTGCGCCTACGGGGACAGAGAAGCCATCTCCAGAACTGCACCTACCACCTTAGGCACAGGTCGGCTAGAGGGTATGGTAAATCCGAAGGGCAAAGTGGCTCCCAACAGTGCCTCCACGGGTTTCACTGGCAGCCAGTAGTGTGCTCATCTCCTATCTTCCAGAGAAACAGCAGCAGCAAACTGCACTCTGCCAGGGAATCCCCAAAAGCCACATTTTTAAAGACCACCTCCAAAGTACACACTTGGCAGTAAGAGGCCAGGCAGGGATTAAAGGTGATCACCTGAGAAGTTGCGTCCCCCTGGAAGTGGGTTGATCCGCTGGCGCTTAAACTGGGACATTGGGAAAGCTGTCCTCTTTCAGTCTTAGAAAAAACCTTCAATCCGAAAAGAACTGTTAGTTTCTCACAGGGAAAATTTCCATCTACCCCGCAAAAGGAACTAAGGATCTTAAAGAAGGTGGGGAGGTGGGCACCGAGAATGAATGGAGGGAATGGAAGGAAAAAACATGAAGAGCAGGAAATGAAGAAATAACATGGGTTAGTTTGCCCTCACGGTAACCTAGTGGCGGGTGATGTTCTCAGGCTATTTTAAAGGAAAGGAAACTGAAGCTCTGAGAGATTAACAGACTTGCCCAAGGCCACAAAACCAAGGTAGTGACAAAACTTGGACTCACACCCAGGTCTCCCGACAACTTAGCGCTCCTCTCACTATGCCATGCCACCCCCAGATGGCTGCGGGCCGTGGGGGGTTGGAAAGGGCCCCGGGGACATTCATTCATTCAAATACGTCCGCCAAAACGCTCCACGCCAGGCCCGGGAAAATGGAGGAGGCTGGGGCCGGAGAGATGGTGCGGGCCCTCTCCCCGGAACCCCGGCCCGTTGTTCCCCAGGCGGGCGGGTGCGGAGCTGGCCCTGGAGCCCCGACGAACGCGAATCCGGCTACGCGCCCGCCCTCCCACTCCCGCTCCCGGGCTCCCGGGCCCTCCGCTGCCGCCTCTGTGGCCGCCGGCGCCGGATCTCCGGGCCCGGCCGCTGCGGGGCCACCGTGGGAGGAACGTCGGCGTGCGGCTTCTCCTCCTCCCGCCCGCCCCCAGGGCCGAGGCCGTTGCCAGGGAGACGGGACGTGCAGTTAGAAAGGGGGCTCGGCCCTTTCCGCGCCCCGTGCATCTTCGCTGCCCGGCCGTCGCAGCCCCTCGGCCAGGGTAGGAGCGAAGGGGCGGGGGGACAGCGCCCACCCCCAACCCACCTGCGGGCCAGGGCCGCGACACCGGGGGGACAAAGGCACCCGGAACAACCACAGCCGCTGCTGCCGCTGCCACCGGAAGCGCCTCTACGGAAGCGCGACCACTGGTCGGAAGCTGCCACTCTCCGGATATGGTCCCTCCCTCCCCGCCACCGACTTCTCCCTTCCCCCACGGCGGCCTGCCATCCCGCTCCAACTGTGGAACGGAAGTGCGCCTTCCTGGATCCGATGCGCCCTAGGAAGCCGCCCCTTGGTGGTGTGCTCGCTTAAGTGTCCCGTTAGACAAGTGGTCAGCAGAGCATTGGTTCCTTTTCCAAAGACAGGCGAAGCCGGACTCTCCAATGCAAGGCAACACCTACCACCCCCATCTTGCCTCATTCTGGCAGACTCCAAGACTGCAGCCGCAAGAGCACTAGCCTCTCCTGACTGGACGAGGTGGATGCCTGATCAGTGGCCATTTCTAGGAGGCATTCCTATGTCTGACTGCAACCAGTGACCCTAGCCCTAGCCCTGCCCTTCCACTGGTGGCACCCCACACACACCTCCCATCCTCTGGGTACCTGCAGGGGACTAAACTTTAACCCTTTCCCAATTAGCAGCTAGGATTCTAACAGACGACGGTAAGATCGGTAGACATTTCCAAAGAGTTTTGCGGACATTTCCCTCAGTCCTCACAACTACCCTGGGAGATAAGCAGGTCAATAATTAGTGACCCAATTCTCAGATATGAAACCTGAGAGACCGCAATGAAATTACTTGGTCAAAGTCTCACCGCTAATCACTGGCCACTTTGGTCCCCGTTAGCAATCCCAGCCCCTCTTGTCCTCCGACCTTCCCATTATCCTTTCAGTCTAGCCTCCCTCCAACACCCATACCCTCTCCCTTTCCTATTAACATTCACAAAGCACTTTGAGACAGTTTAATCATATTTTATCCTTGAAACAAGCCTGTGAGGTAGATAGGGCACAGGTAAGTCAGGCATACCATTTGGGAGATTAAGTGGGAAGCTATGGCTCAGAAAAGTTAAGGGATTTTGTCAAGGTCTAAAAGCTAATATGGCCTCTAGTTTCAGTTCTGATGTGTAAAGGCTAGTAGGGAGCAAAGCAGCTGAGAATAGACCTTGAAGGTTACTCTGCTGTTCCCATGTTGTCCCTGACCCTCCAATTCCTGGTGCAGTCTCAGTATGCTCTACTCCACAGCCGAGACTCAAAACAGAGACAGTCAGGTTAACACCCTCCTCTGTCCTGGAGCTCCTCACATAACTATGGGGAGGAAAGTAGGACTCCAGTTCAGTAACAGCATACACACACACACACGTGCACACGCACGCACACACACATTTTGCACAAATATACATTTGTAATATGCTGGGCCCCAATAGATCACTGTGCCAATACACATTCCATGGCTGTCTGATAAATAGGTTAGTTCACATTGTCTAAGCCCAGGAATTTCTGGCAACCTGGGAGGAGCCCAGGAGACACCTTGGGCCTCTCAGGGATGCAGGGCTTCTCTGCCAAGCTGCTCAGAGGAGAAGAACTCAGCCCTAGCCTCAGAAAGAAGGGTGAGCATCAGCAGCTTTTCCTGGAAGTGCCCAGAGGCTGCAACAGGGCAAAGGGCGAAGAAGATGACTTCACTGCACATGCCTCCACCTAGGGTCATGTCCCTGCGCAAGGAGGTCTCAGCACATGGAAAGTTTTTTTGTTCGTTGCTTCTTAACCATGAGTGATGGCATGAAGGTCTTCCGGAGGGGGTGGCATGGAGGTATGTCAGGGAGGTCTCTTGACTCAGTCCTACAGAAAAGGAAAGGAGGCATTAGGCTAGGAGGAGGAAGCAAAGGTAACAGCCCCACAGTTGACAGAGCATTGCTTCTCTGCTGTGGGAAACCTGGGGATATTAACGGACATGGTAATTTCCCCCCCTCCAGTGAATCATTCAGTATGACTGCCTGTCGTTCACTGCGGAATCCTCTGTCTGTGCTCCTACCTCGCTTTCTCAGCAACCTAGGGAGACGGCCTAAGTTTCAGTTATGAGGGGTGAGGGCTCGATGGGCCAGCATGAGATATCCAAGATTCTGGTCCTGGCTCTGCCACTGACTTACCATGAGGTCTTAGGAAAGTAACTGCCCTCCCCAACCCAGTCCCCAGCCCCCTCATTTGTAAATGGGGTGCTTTAACTACTTTGTTTCTTCCAGTACCCTCTCCAAAGCTGTCTATGACTCTCAAACTTCACAGGGACAAAGGTAACACCTGGCTGTACGATCCTGTCATCTGCTGGCCGTCTTGGTGGGCATCCAGCTGAGTTCAGAGGTATCCCTAGCTCCTCCATGTGCCCCAACCTGAGCCACAGGACTCACCTGGGGACAGGGCCATCAGGAAGGGCAGGGGGTTCAGGGTGTCGGAGGCTCCTCCAGAGGATCCGGTTGAGTAGGACCTTGACCTTGTTCCACTGGGAGAGATCCTGCTGAGAAGGAGAAGGGGTCATCACCGAAGCCCTCCCCACAACACAGCCTTGACCAAGCTCCCAGAGATAGATGTCACCACAGCCAGGATAAGTCACCTGCTCCAAACAGGAATCCTGTCATTTTCCTAGAGTGTCTGGTCTTCAGGGTATCCCTCACCCCAACTGCTCCCCCACGCCTACCCCATCCTATCACCTGCCTCCACACGTATCCACCACCTACCTTGTGTTTCTGGAAGGATGGAAAGGTGTGAACTGGCTCTTCTGGGGCCTCTGACAGCCTGGGAGGGTCAGCGCTGGGCACTCCTACCTTTGGGAGTAAAGCTGGTTTTGCCCCTTCAGAAAGAGAATTGGGTTACCCAGGGGTAGCCACCCATCAAGCCCAGGGCTCAGGGGTTCTGCCTGTTGGCCCTGAGCAGGCAGCAGGACATGGAGGGAGATGCCAACTGCCCCTCACCTGTCTCCATCTGGCTGAGCAGCCCGGGCCCCTCACTGCCTGCAGCACAAGAGGGTGGAGGTGAAGGAACCAGGGCCGACTCCTCTTCCTCTTCAGGGTTCTGCGCACAGGAGAGCCGGGTACTTGGGGCCCTGACCAGAGGGCTGAGGCTGTTCTGAAAGGAGCCCTGGTTCCAGGGGTCCCATCTCTCCTCTGCCCTCCTCCCCCCATCACCTGCCTATCCGCTGGCCTGCCAGCCCCAGGCTCACTTACCCCCACAGGCCTCCGGGTCTGCAGCTGCAAGCAGAGCTGCTGGAGGCTCGCCATCTGCTCCAGCACCAGGCACAGGTGTTCCAGGTAGCGAAGACCCTGCCCTGGAAGGTTGGCCCAGGCTTCAGGCTCCAAGCCCCGCGCCTGTGGGACACAGTGAGCTAGGGATACCTCTGAACTCAGTCGGATGCCCACCAAGACAGACAGCAGGTGAGGGCAGAACAGGCAGGGAAAGGAGGCACACACACCCAACTAGTCTCTCAGTGCCCAGCCATGCTGCCAGATAGGCCCCCACCTGCCCACCTCACACAGCTGAGAGCAGGGAGGCAAGAAGCTGTAACACAGCTGCCAGGCAGTTCGGGGCAAGGAAGGCCCCGCCCCGAGAGCACCAGGGCGAACAAGTGGGGGAGGTCCCAGCCCTAGTGTAAAAGGGCCATCTCCACCGGACTCTTCACCCAGCCTGAGAGTTGGCACTCACCACCTCTGCTTCCTCCAGGCCTGTCTCTAGGTCGGTTTCTGCCTGCACGGCCTCCTGTTCCCCTGATCCAAAAGGAGGCATTTCATACACAGGCTTGCTTGGAGGCTTCAGGGAGTGGTGCTGGTGTGACAAGCTGGCGGAAGTCGGGAGCTGACGGGACCGCTCCAGCACCTGCTCCAGCTTACGGCTGGTCAGGAGCCGCCCTAGGTGGGCAGAAGGCTCCATGGCAGCATGGACCAGGGCCTCAGGGGCCCCTGGGGGCTCAAAGTCCAGAGAGTACTGAGAAAGCCCTTGTGAGGTGGCCAGGGAGTTGTCCCCAATTTTCATCTCCACTCCTGAGTCCTGGGAGGCCAGTTTGAGAACCCGCTCCTGAGTCCTGAGACCTCTCAGCTGGCCATGTCCCTCCCAGTGGTCCAGTGAGCACCCTGGAGCAGCGTCCGGGATCCGTCTGTAGGTGCTGGTGACTCCTGGTGCCACACAGCCTCGCACCAGGTCCTGGCCAGCCCCACCTGCAGGGAGAGTCAGCATCAAGCTGGGCAGGCTGCCCTAGCACCCCAGCATTCCTGGCAGCTGGCAGCATTCCCCAGGGAGGAGTGTCCTGGGCCAGAGGTGACGGGAGGAGACCGGACAGCCCCAGCCCCAGCCGGGAGACGGCAGGATGGGATTCCCTTAGCAGTAATTGTGAGCAAGCACACCACCAGGAAAGGGGCTGTGTGACAGGCAGCCTTGTGAGTCGCGTTCATCAGCTCAGGATGGCCTGCTTTCCTCTGAGGGCGTGTGCACTTTCTCCCTGGCGCCCCTTCTGCTCCTGCCCCTAAGGTCCGCCCAAGACTTCCGGGCTTAAGTGGGGAGCCTCTTCAACTGCTCCCCGGGCGGGGACTACGACAGTACCCTCGCCCCAGCCTCAGGGAGAGGGAGGGGTACAAAGAGGAAAGCCTGGAGTCCAAACTGGCATCAGGATGCAGACGACGCCTCTCCCGGAGCATTTAAGGGAGGGGAGTAAAAATAACAATAGCTACAGCCGTTTGGGGCTTTTGTTCTTCTTAGAGAGCAGTAGTGCCGCTGAAGAGTTGAAAAGAAAACACTTAAATGGGAGAAAGGGAGCCCGGGGGCGGGAGGAGCAGCGTCGTAGAAGACTTAAGGTCACTTGTGTGCCAGGTCCCTAAGTGCCGGGATCCCCCTACTGTAATGATACAGACACTGACTGGGCTGAGGGCGACGGGGGGCTGCCTGCTTCTCACAGGCCGCCACGCTGGAGAGCCTTCGGGCCAGCAGGTTGCCTTTAGAAAGGGGTTAGACACCGCCGAGGGGCTTCTCGGAACTGCTGACTGGGGCCGGGGCCGGGGTGGATCCTTTTCCAGATCGGAAGCGGACCCGGAGGGGGCGCGATGCTGGGGACGGTTGGTCCTACGTGCAGGGCGCGACCCCTCGGCCCTTGCAAGAAGGTCTTCCAAGGAGGAGGGCGCAGCGCAGTGGGTGCCTCGGCGTGGTGCCGGAGGGCAGGGGTCTCAGACCCGCTCGGGCGCCAGAATGGGCTCCAGGGCGCGAGGCCGAGCCGGCCTGGGGGTACGCAACTCACCCCCGCCGCTGAGCGGCTCCACGGCGAAGACGCGCCGCCGGCCCAGCATGGCCCGGCTCCCGGCCCCGACGCGGCGCCCCGGCCGCGGGCTGCAGCCGCACCGAGCGATCCCGGCCAGCGCGCCCTCGCCGCGGCGGCGGGCGGCTGAGCCGAAGCAGCCCAAGCCCGCTGGGCGCGGCCCGGGACTCTCCCCGCGGGGGGCGGGGCGGGCGGGGGAGGGGCCCGCAGGTGCGCGGGCGGGGGGGCCGACCGGCAGGGCTGAGGCCTGGGATCCCCGGTCCTTCGGGCCCCGGGCGCCTAGCGCTTTCGCCCCCAACTGAAAGGCGGAGACCCCGTCCGGGGACGCCTTCTGGCTCGGGGCGCGGGGTCAGCCCGCCTCCGGTTCACACTCCGGGGCTGTCTTCCTGCTGCCAACATGCAGCCGCGGACGGGGGCGGGGGGGGGGCGGCGGGGACTGGACGCGAGCGCGGAAGGAAGTGGAGCCCCACGTGCTGACCAGGACCGGGCGGCCGGCGCTCGCAGCGCTGCGCCTTGAGCAAGTCTCAGCCACCCAGGACCCTGGCGCGAGAAAAGGAAGAAATGTTCGTGCCCACAGGGAAATCCTCTCCAACAGCCGCAGAGCGCCTGGGGTCCTGAGCTAGATCTGAGTCCCCTCCTTGTACCCCGACCCGGGTACCGTGAAGCTAGAGCCTGAGGGTTCAGTGGAGGTTCAGGATCTGGGGAAGCAGCGCGCCCAGGGCGGGGGGAGGGGGGAGGCACAGGGGAGCCTGAGAGCAGTGGGGGTGTAAATGCTTCCCTTTCCCAACCCAGCCCTCTTTTGATCCACCAGACTCCACCCGCCACCACCATTCCACCCTGAGATGGGACTGCAAGCCCAGGCGGCTGCGGGAGGTGAAGATACCCTGCTAACCAGAGGGCTGGTGGCCGCTGAGGAAAGCTCATCCTCCTGAGGAACGTGACAGGGCTGGAAAAATCCCAGCAAGGCCCAAATTCCCTCGAGTCAGATAAGGGCGCGCAGGACGTGCAGACTTGCACCTGGGCCTCTGGAGGCGGGGCTGGGGCCAGAGCCAGTGGGAGGAAGCGGCTGTTAAGTGAGAGGGACAAGACACGCTGACCGCCCCCTCTGCTCCTCGCCCCTTCCTCCCCTTTCTCACACCCCCCACAGGAGCCGTTATTGTAGCCACGTACTCCGAGATTCTAACTTTGTGAGGTAGGGAAATGGGCGCACAGCCAAGCCAGTAGGAAAGAAGGAGAGCCACTAGCCGGAATCACCGGCCATCTCTTACCACCCTTCCCGCCTACAGGGTCCTCCAGGCTACCTGCCTCCCAGCCCTATCCTGGACGGCGCCTCCCCCCATTCCTCCTTCCCAGATGTACAGAGGGAAATAGACAGTTGGGCCTGGCAGGAACTGCTTTATGCAAGTCCACAGGAAGTGTGGAACCAAACCCCCGCAGGCAGTGCCAGACCTCACCCCAAACTCCCTGCGTAGGCCTGGACCGTCAGGTGACTTCCTCCCTCCAAAGTGAGAGGGTGGGGAGGTGAAGGGAGGGAACCTCTGCCAGATCTCGCCCTGAATTTGGAGAATGTGGGGCCAGATTCCAAACAGTCTCCCTGGTGACTCTGGGCAGGAATGCATCTGGAACAGGAAGCCGGGTCAACAGGAATGCGGTGTCTCAGCACCAGGCTTTGTGTGGGCTCAAAAAAACGCCCCCGACACACCTCTCCAGGCGGTGCCCTCCCATGCAGATACGCTGGAGGCCCCCTCATGGCGGACCACACATTTGCCTCCTATCTGCCTTCTGCTGCTGTGACTGTGGCAGCCCCTTGCCCAGACCTAGGTCAGGCCTTCCCACAGCAGAGGGCTCTATGGCCCCACATGACCAGCTTGGCGGTCTCTCCTGCACCAGGCCTACTATCCGAGGAGATCCCTGCCCCTTGAGTGATGTCTGAAGAAATGAAAGGGGAGGACAGCCACCCCCCACCCACCAGGGGGGCAAGCAGCTACCTTGAGTTCCCAAGGCACATGGTAGCCAAGCAGAGCCATCCTTCAAGTTGAGACCAGGGATGCCCAGAGGCCCCTTAACCTCTTAGGGAAGTGCCAGCTTCAGGAAGCACATTTCCTGCAAGCACAGCCCTGAGCTGGCTCTGTGGGAAGAAGGGCAAAGCCAAGAACCTGGGGGCAGCTCCTGCCAGACTAGAGATGGCTGGGAACCATGGTGACCTCCCTTACGGCCTGGAAGGCTGGTGATGGAGGGGCAAGAGCACCCCAGGGCCAGTCAGGAACCAGTTTCCATCCCCAGCCCCCTCCCATTACCAGCCAACTTGTCCCTGGACCACTAACATCTCCATGTCCTCAGTTTCTTCATCTGTAGAACAAAGATGACAACAGGACCCACCTCAGAATTGTGAGGATTGGAGCTACTGCACTTAGCCATCCCTTGCACCATAGAATTATCTAGCTGTGGAACTTTGGGGAAGCCACTTTCTCATGCCTAAATGAAGGGAGCTGTGTTAGATGCTCTCCTGGGCCTCATCTAACTCAAATCTGTAATCATCTCTGAAGTTATTCACCCAAATTCAGGAAAAAATAACGAGGGCACTGCCCTGGACAGATTGCAACGGTTTAATCGGGCACCTCTCCCCCACCCCCTCTGTGTCTGGGTCACATAGGGTGGGTGCTCCCAGCTGCCTTGTTGTGGGGTTGAGGGCAGGGATAAGTCAGAAGCTGTCTCCAACCTTCTCTGCTGACTGACGGGTTTGGCTAACAGCTCCATCTCCCAAGGAAGTACGTTCACAAGCTCAGGTTAGCTGTATGGCAGCAGAGCGCTCTGGAACTGAAACCCTCTGGGCCCCTGGGAGGACAGCAGGCTGCCACAGCTAAAGACGTGGATTTAGCTTATACCGTGCAGCCGTGGAAAGGCGGTCAGCAACTCATTGGCATCCCGATTCCCCAAGCGTCCCTGCTCCCCATTTGCTCTCCTCCATGCCTTAGGAAGCCACTGGCCCAGCATGGTTTGTTACAGGCAGAGAATCAGACCATGTTACTGTTCCAACCCACCTTTCCAACTTTTTCCAGCCTGTCACTTAGGTGCTTCAAATTTTCAGAGAGCCCAGAGCCTCAAGGTGAACTTCAAACTGTTTCTCCTGGCATGCAAGGCTCCTATATCCCCTCTCCAGTCTTATTTTGGTATCCCTTTCAGCCACTGCCCTAAACTGAGCAATCCTCTTGCACTCACTACCCATCACTCAGCTTTTCTCTACTGCACCTGTCAAGTCCTGTTCATCTTTTCACATAGACTGTCCCTGTTCTGACCTCACAGGGCACCCCTGTGTTCCACATTAGCTCTTAGCACTCATTACCACAAGCATTAGTTTGTTCGTGCTGGCTCAATCAGTGCCACGTGACAATTAGCTTCAGAAAAGCAAGCAAAATGCTGTATCTTTCTGTGTTCCCCCTGTGCCAGAACCAGTTTTTAGAAGGGCGATGTCCCTTTTGTGAGCATTCTCTGCTGCCATGAGCGATACCTGACACTAGGTGGCGCCGGGAAGGCGATCCCGTTTGGACCAGTTCTGGCCTCATGAAGAAAGCCTGATGCACAGAAAGCTTTAATCTTTTCTATGAAAATAAAGGCAACCATTCAGGCAAAAGGTGAGACAATTATATCAAGGTTTAAATTATATCAACAGGTGCCTGAGGAGGCAACAGTCTCCATCAAGATTCCTTTCAAAAAAAAACAGCCCAAAGCACTCTCAAGCCCAGCTTTGATCTTTTCTGAGCCTGCCACCCATTCCTCAAGCTGATCTGGGGGCAGGATGGGTCTGGAGCCCCCAGCAGTACCCATGCACCTTACTTAAATGTCCTCTGGGATTGTGGGGGTGGAGGGTGCAGTGGGGATCAAGCCAAAAGTCCGTTAGGGGACCACCACCACCTCCCTGCCTCGACTCGACTATACCCAGGGCAGGCCCGCCTTGCACTGGCCATGCATTTTTTTTTTTTCAAATCAACCACCTTGGAGCCAGCAGGATCTCCCAGAGCCCCAGCAGGCAGACCAACCTGAGCTTGGAGGCAGGCTCTTGGTGGGTAGGGTCCCTTCAGGATAGGGGCTCTGCTAGCTTGTCCTTAGTAAGACTAACCTGCAGCCCTGTCCATGGCTACTTCTGGTGATTATCTTTCTCAAAAGGGTGCAGACAGCCTCAGATGAGTGCAGGCGGTCCTCTAGATGTTGGCCCCCTGCCCGCCCGCTCCTCTGGGGAAGTCAGCAGGGCGGGCAGCACCCACACCAAGCACAGAGTGGTAAGCAGCTGAGCCTGAGCAGGAGACTGCCACGCAGAGATGGCCTGAGCAGAAGGTCCCAGGCCTGCCTCTGTCTCTGCTGCCTGCCTTCTGTCATGTCTCCCCCCTCTCCAGGCTCCCAGGAACCTCAGAAGTACCCGGTTCATTGCAGTAAAACATCTCTACAAAAGCACCCAGTAAGAGCACCACCCTAGACTGCAAGACACCAGCCTTGTCAGTGCAGGTGGTATGTGGCACAGCACCTGGTAGGGCTGGGCCCTGAGGGAGGGGGGAAATAAGAGGAGATAATTATGTAAATACTCTCCACCAGGGGAGAGATGCTAACCCCCAGGAGCCAAGCAGGGAACGAAAGAGGGGCATCTACTTTATTTTGTCCACATACATATATATACATACAGAGAGAGAGAGCTCCCGTGTAGAAAACTTTACACAGCGAGGACCTTCAGCCTCTGGCCCACCCCTCTTCTGCATGCTTATCTCTTCTGCCCCAACCTCCTTAACCCCTGCAGCACAAAGGTGTCCAATCCGTGAGACTCCTGAAGAGCCTGTCCTGCAGGGGAAGCTAGAGGGGCCAGCAGAGGCCTGGGAGGAGGAGGCTGTCCTCCCCACAGCCTATGACCAGTCCCAGCCACTGGCCTCCCATCCACCATTGCCATCCATGCCAACTCATACTGGCCCTGGCCTGGTGTGAGGGGCTGGAGTCAGGGGCGGGGGTGAGGATGTGGCGGCACTCAGGCCTGGGAGCCGAGGGCAGGCGCAGAGTAGCGCTGGCGGGCATGCTTCTCGCAGTACAGCTCATCCCCAACCCAGAAATGGCCGCGCATCTTCAGGTTCAGGCCACAGTCCGAGCAGGTGTAGCAGCCAGGGTGGCGGTAGCGGCCCTCCTGGATGCGGACTGCCTGGTTCCTGTGCGGAGGGAGAGGGTAGAGCAGAGAGCCATTAGCAGGGGTGGGAACATGCTGCCATTCCCATTCCCAGACCCAGAGTCAGGCCCTGAGGACCTGGGGGGAGCGCAGATCTTCTCAGACCCTTGACCCCCACAAGCCTGCCCTTAGGAATGTCCCTCAACATCCCCCACCCCCAGGAGCCCTAATAAAAAAAAAATAGAAAGTCATTTCTCCCACACCCAAAGGCAGATAAACTCCATCCTGCATCTTTTGGGCTGTAACGGAGCAGTGGTTCTCAAAGTGTGGTCCCAGGTGCCAGGACCAGCAGCTTCAGATCACCTGGGAACAAGTTGGAAATGCTGAGTTCTAGGGCCGGGGACCTCCTGGAGGAAAAACTCTGCAGGTGCAGCCCAGCAAGGCCTCAGGCTCTGCTGTTGCTCTTTGAGAACCACACACTTCGCTTGGGTCTGCATGGTAGACAATGTCCCACTCTGCAGGTGAAACCCTAAAGCCCACCGAGGCTAAGGGATTTGCCGAGAGTGAGTCCTCTGACCTTCACCGCTGTGCACAGAAGAAATGTATGGGGCGAGGAGGTTCTTTCAGCAATTTTCCAGAGAATGTGGCTGCATTATAATACCACCAAGATAAATGAACCTACCTCTGGAAAATTCACCCTCTTCCAAAGGGGGTGAGCGACGGGTAAGAGCAAGATTTCCCAGGAGGAGGCACCTCATGTAGAGGCAGAGCCCCAGAGGCTCTGAGATAATTGGAGAGAAATCAAAAGCATGTCTTCCTCCTCTGGGGGGAGGAGCTGCGGCAGGAAGCAGCCAGAGCAGGCATTCCAAAAAGGCTCAGACTAACCCACATAGCCCGTCATGCATACCCTGCGGTAACACTCCCTCCAGGGGCCCAGCTGTGCGGTGGTCCTGCCCCCCACCCTGCCGGGGCACCAACACTCACACAATGCTGGTACTGCACTTCTCACACGTGTGCAGCTTGGCTGGCGTGGCCAGGGCCCTGGAGGCAGGCAGGGAGGACTGGGGGCTCAGTGAGCTGGGTAGAAAGGCAGGAGCCCCACCTGGATGGTGGGGACAGACACATGAGAGCACCTCCCAGGCAGCAGCACCCGGGCTGTATTCCTTATTCACCCTCACCTCCCCCAACACGGCTTCAAGGAGACTCATAAAGGGAGCGCTTACAACGGACCCTAAAGTAGCACTGGGGGCGATGGGGGGAGGAAGTGTTCATGCTAGCTTCTGGGCTGAGGCTGGTCAAGTGCAGGGAGCACCTGGGAGGCCGAGCTAGCCCAAGCTAAGGTGAGCAGAGCAGGGTCCAGGCTCGGTGCGCCACGCCAGGCCAAGCAGGCGTTCCCTCTCTGGCGATCCAGTCATAATATAGTAACAGATGGTAATGATAGATAATAACAGCACCACAATGCCTTTGTACAGTTTTCAAAGGGTTTTTATGTGCATTATTGAATTTGAGCCTTGCATCAACGCTAAGATGAAGTGCAGAAGTTCCTGAGCAGGTAGGTCCCTGTTTGTACCCGAGGACACCAGACTCCATTAGTGAGGTCACCATCCGTCTGTGTCCCCTTGCCTGCCACCTCTCCCAGTTCCCTCCCACAGGGCCTGCCAGGGCCTCAGGGTCATAAAGGACAAGATTTGCTCTAAACCTTCTCACCTTGTCCTGCTTACCACTGTGAACCCCCAGGAGCTAAACATCAGAGTTGGACCCAATCACCAGGTGCTGGTGATTCTGTCAAATACTATCCCATCCTGTCCTTCCCTGCCCAGGCCAGGCCCTCACCTCTCCCCTGGACTAGGGGCAAGTCCCCTAACACACACACATGAACTCCTGCAGTACCATCTGCCCGCTTGGGGTGGGGCCGGCCTGTCTGCCACAGTAAACAGTTCCTCAAGGGCAGACGCGGGTTAGACGCGGGTTCTGACCACCTTGCATCTCCACACCCTGCACACATCTGGCCCATCAGGTGAGCACAGTACATGTCTGTTGAACGAACAGCTGGCAGAGCCTGTGTCTGTATTGCTCACTCTAGCATCTATGCACTGCCTGACGCATTGACCCGGCCCTCCGAGACCACAGCACTCAGCCCAGCCCACCAGGCTGCACGGCAGGGGGCTCACCTCCAGGCTCCCAGGCCCCACTGTTATCGCTCCTGCACCCAAAAGCCCTCCACCGCCAGCCCCACACTCCGCAGTGCTCCCTGCCACTACCTCAAGGCCATTTGTGAAAGTCTTCATCTTTCTTCAGAAACAAATCCCCTATGAAGGGCTCCCTGGACACCCAGCCCCTGTGCCCAACCACTGGCCTTACTGTTCCCTCGGCACCCTCCTCACCACAGCTCGTGCTCTGGGCCGCCCCAGTGACCCCTCCTGGACTGCGTCCTCCACCAGTCCGTTCCCCTCAGCGTCTGCTCCCGTGTTGAGTGGTGACAGAATATGACTTCACTACGTCCTGGGGCCTGGGGGAACCCCCTTCCCCTACCCAAGGCCCCGTCTCACCTCTTTCCTCAGCCTCCAGGGCTTCCTGCAAGAGCCGAAAGGAGCTGGACTGCCGGGGGACCCCCCGCCCCTCACGATTTTCCTGCAGCATCTTGAAGGCTTCTGAGTCCTCTTCCAGGAAGTGGCTTCCCCCTTCGGAGCCCACACTGCAGGGGCAGGAGGCAGCCAGGGGTGAGATTCGCCTCCCCGGGGGTTGGGACAGGCATGAGGGCAAGGAAAGGGTGGTGGGGGTGGGGATTCCGGAGGAAAGCTCACTGCGCTGGGAGAGGCAGGGCGTGCCCGCGCCCCACACCGAGGGTCCCTCCGCTCCTCCGGGCCCTCCAAGACCCCACCCCCACTCAGCAGTCGCCGGTACCTGAGCCTGGGGCTGGAGGAGCGCGTGCCCAGGGAAGGCGGGGGCAGCACTAGCACAGGGGAGTCGCCAGCACGGCTGAGGCTGGCCTGCGGGACAGAGAGGCACCAGGGGAGGAGTCAGCGGCTGGAGCCCTCGGCCAGACACCCGTCTGGGCCGCCAAGCCAGGCTGTTCCCCAGGCCCGACACCAGGTGGCTCCCGGCCCTCGCTGACTAGCGGGCCCCCTGCAAGGGGCCACCACCTCACCCCTGCCCTCCCAGTCAGAGCCTGGTACCCTGCTGAATCCCAGGAGGGGAGGGGAGGGAGGCGAGCCCTCAGCCAGAGAGGAGTGAAGGATCTGCCGAGGGACTGCGCGAGGGGCAGAAGGAAGAGCAGATGTGGAGCCAGGCGTGGACGCCGCGCATGTTCCTGCCACCGCACATTACGCGCTTGTGCCAAGACGTTGCACCTGTCGCCTGGCTCAGTCCTGACAGAACAAGCAGACTGGAAGTAAGCTGACGCTTTTGCGGTGAGGAAAGGGAAACATAAAGGAGCCGAGATCCCTTTCGGAGTCAGGGTTGGGCTGTACAGAGGACCTCTCCCGTACACGCTGGTCCACCCCCTAAGCGGGCCAGGGTCTGGGCTGACTGGCCTGCCTGGGCCACTCCCTGAGCTTCAGGAGCCAGGCCTGTTCTGGGCCCACACCCCAGCAGCAGAGCTGCGTCCCCAGTGTGTGGCCTCTGTCCTAAGTTCTTATACTTGCTCACGGCTGGCAACCTTGCCATCAACTGCCCCACCACCTTGCTTCCTGGCCTGCACCTCTGTAGCCTCCTCCCCCCTCTTGCCATCCCCAGTGGAAGGTGAGAGCCAGCCTGGCACCTGGCTTGAGGACACATGTTCCTGGAAATCCAAATTCCCTCGATTTTAAAATTCAAAGTCAGAGATAAGTTATGGGGTCAAATGAGAAAACGGCATGAAATCGAGAGTCATGAGGAGACAGCCCAGATGCTCACTGCCAGCCCCACCCCACCAGTCTGCACACCTCTGCTCTTGAGCTCCTTTGGGAAAACACTCCACTGGTAAGGAGATGGAGGGTCAGCAGGCAAAGCGGCCAGTCCAGACCTCCCATTGGGTCAGAGGCAAGCAGACAGTTTCCTTAGGAAGGATGGCCAGCACCAGTTACTCATGAACGATGTGCCATCTTCCTGTCCTAGACATGCCAGCATGGGCCCCACGCAGGGGCACCGGCCAGCAGGGATGGGGGGTGGAAATCCAGCCCGGGCTCCCTTCTCGAGCCTAGTCTGCCACCAGTCGGAGAAGTGCTATGTTCATTTCTTCTGCTTACCAAGGCATATGTCTACCCGGACTGGGCAATTTCTAGCCTCCAGAAGAGCACCTTAGGGCTGGTGGTGTCCTGCACCTTGGGCTC